TGGAAAAGATCACTTGCTACTGCTTTTCATTTGATTTGATTTTAGAGACCAGGCCTCATGTGTCGCAGGCTGGCCTCAAACTCACTAAGTAACTGAGGATTGCATTGACCCTCTGACCCTCCTGCCTCTACCATCCCAGTGCTGGGATCATAGGTGTGTGCCCCACACCCTGGTTTTGTCTTTCTGGGGACCAGACCCAGAGCTTTGCATGTCTGAGGCAAGCACTCTGCCAACTGAGCCACATCACCAGCTCATACTGTTCCAGTAAAGTAAATGAAGCTGGGCATCCTTTATCTCTTCCTGGAAGCTCTTGTCTAGGGCAGCATCCAGCAGGCAGGCGTGAGCTAGGTTATTGGTCTATAAGTAGAACAGATTCTCAGATGCTGAGACGTTCTTGATGATGATGTCAAGATTCGTGCAACAGAGAAAGCAGAACGGAAAGAAGAATGGAGCCTAGAAAGCTGGGGGGCGGGATGGGGAGGCACGGGAAGTGCTACTTTAGGTAGAGCCATTAACAAAGACCCCTCTGGGCTCTCAGAGACTGAATCATCAACCAAAGAACATACATGGGCTGGACCTCGCCCCCCACACACACACACAATTGTAGCAGATGTGCAGCTTGGTCTTCATGCTAGTACCCCAACAACTGGAGCGGAGAGGGGGGTGTAGCCTGCCTGTGGATCCTGTCCCCCTAACTGGGCCACCTTGTTTGGCCTCAGTGGGGAGAGGATTGCCTAGTCCTACAGTGAATTAATGTACCAGGGTGGGTTGGTACCCAGGGGGCACCTCCCACTTCTTGTAGGAGAAGGGGAGGAGAGAGGGGAGGGGCTTTTTGAGGGGTAGACTGGGAGAAGGGGGGGGGACCTGTGATTGGGATGTAAAGCAAATAAGCAAATTAATGAAAGGAAAGAAAGGAAGGAAGGAAGAAAGGAAGGAAGGGAGGAAGGAAGGAAGGAAGAAAGGGAGGGAGGAAGGAAGGAGGGAGAAAGAAAGAAAGAAGAAAGAGAGAAAGAAAAAGAAAGAAAGAAAGAAAGAGAGATCCCTCTAGGAACTACTTAAGAGGAAGGAGGTTGCTAGGAGCTGGAAGGGCCAAAATACTTATATACATTTATAAAAATGTCACAATGAGACCCATTATTACATATAACTAATATATTCTAATAAAAAACATTTTTTAAAAAATGGGTCAGTGAGATAGCCTCATGGGTAAAGGCGATTGCAGCCAAGCTTTGACAATCTGAGTTCAATATATGGGACCTAGAGGGTGGAGGGAAAAACCAACCCACCAACGGCTGTCCTCCGATCTCCGTTCACGCAGCATGCCACTCATGCCCATATTTACACCAAGGGGAATAAACAACACACAAAATAAATAATTAAAAAAGAAAGCCCTCTACCTGGGCATGGCAGCTGCTGCCTATAATCCCAGCATTTGAAAAGGCTGATTGCCCAGAGTTGGAGGCCAGCTGGGCCCTCAGAGTAAAACCCTGTCTCAAAAACAAAATAAAAACCACACAAAGGAGAAAGTCCTCGTGATAGATTGGAATTGGAGCAGACGTTTGAGGGAACGGACGAATGGTGGAAACAAGTTCTGACTAATTGGAATATTTCATCCCAAGGGAACAGGAGGGAGCAAGATCCTGACCAAGGGCAGCCTAGTGGCTGTTGTGCAGGTGCTTTTGGAGGGTGAGGACAAAGGCAAGGTCAGGGGGCTCGTCAGGAGCAGGACACACGGGGGCCATGACAAGTACTTGCAGCACAAGGAGATGGGACTCATAGGTTGGTTTGACAAGGAAGTCGTGTGTCTCAAAAGGATCTTGATGCTCTAAGAAGAATGGCTGGCTGCCCTGGGAAACTTGATGAGTGGCGAGCTGGTGAGACGGTTCAGATGACAGATGATGGCAGCAGCCTAGCTAAGACTGAAGTAGTGGACTGTATCTGTAAAGTAGAGCACACAGGCTTGCTAACCCACTTGCTGTGACTCCTAAAGTAAACTCGAGAATGACCAAACACCTGGGCTTGGTGTAGCACAGCCATAATTCCAGCACTCAGGAGGCAGAGGCCAGCCTGGGCTACATAATGAATTAAGGCCATCTGGAGTATGCAGAGTGAGAATTATTTTTTCTTTTTCTTTTTAAAAGTCATCTCAAGTTTTTATTCTGAACAACTTTAAGGATGGAGCTAGCTTTTGGGCAGGAATACCACGAATGAGGACTGTCTAGTTCTTTATGTGTCTGGTGCCAGAGCTGAAATATCTCCTTAGAAAGGGATTGGAGGCTGGAAAAATGACTTAATAGGTAAGAGTACTTGATATGCAAGCATGAAGACCTGTGTTCAAATCCCCAGCACCCATAAAAAAAAATGTGATGTTTGCACTTGTAATCCCAGGGTTGAAGAAACAGTAGACTTCCAGCTCAATGAGAGGCTTTCTCTTAAAGGAATAAGGCAGAGGGCAATAAAGGAACAAGACACCCAGTGTCTTCCTGGGTGTCTGAGCACACAAAGGAACACATCAAAATAAGTAAATTTTCACTTTAAAGAAGGAAAGGAGGGAGGCAGCTGAATACAGCAAGGATTTTCTGATGCAAAAGAATCTTGGCAATGGGGAATTCCACAGTCACGCCAGGCAGTAAACCTCATGTGAGAGATTTACTGGGGAGAAACAGAATGCCTCTGACTGGAAACAGAGACCGTGACTGTGGGCTAGACCAAGCGAAAGGCTTTTATATGGCTTTTGAAGTTGCACAGTCAACTTAGTGGGAAAGTATCACATTGTTTCCACCATTAAGGCTGAGTCACAGGGTGGGGACTTCCAAGTCTTGGAGCAGTTCCAGGTCAAGTCAGGGGCAGGGTGTTCATTCCCTGGCCCTTTTACCCTGTATTCTATGAGTTCAAGGCTAGCCTGGTCTACAGAGCAAGTTCCAGGACAACCAGGGCTACACAGAGAAACTGTCTTGAAAAACAAACAACAAAAACAGAAAAGGAAGAAGAGCAGTCTCCTATTCCACACGGAACTCTCAGTGATCCATTGGCCGGAGCTGTTGAGCTGTGCCTTGCATTTTTTGGAAATCTGTCTGGAGTTTGTGGATCTTGTCTTTTATCAAGAGGCAAAGGATACCCTTCTCTACTGTTAGTAGATCTGTTTCAAGTGGTTTGTATAGAAACAAGAATTTTTCTTAAAGCCACACAGTAACCTCCTTGTCCTGCATAAAGCAGGTCTAGTGCCCTGTCATATTGTAAAACTATTTCAGCTAACGAATTTACCTGTCCATAGATGTAGGTCTATCTGGTTTTAACAGATACCTTTCCTGGTATCCCAATAGGCATTATAGGTAGCCATTTTGTCCCCTATACCAGGGAATTTCCTTTTGACCTAATAATCCAGCCTTTTAAAAAAAATTATTTATTTATTTATTTATTTATTTATTTACATGAGTACACTGTTGCTGTCTTCAGACACACCAGAAGAGGGCATCGGATCCCATTACAGATGGTTGTGAGTCACCTCTCTAGCCCCCCAATCTAGCCTTTCTGTAACTACTTCTGGCTGAAATTCAGATGATATTGTTATGGCCCAGGAAGGCTGGAATTCTTGTCAGACTTGGAGGGAGTTCAGGCAATGGGGCATTCATCAGAAGCATCTGGTTCGCTGACCCAGCTACAGAGGCAGGAAGCATTCACACCGGCTGGACTGGTTCGCATAAGCTTTCAGTACATCCAAGGCTCCCTGTCCTTTGGAGCAGTTTGTTAGTATGCCAGCTGAATAGAAATCTTCTGAGACAAATACAGACTAGGGACAGAAGTTAAAGTTTAGGAACTTAAAGAAAAGTCACATGAGAAGGCTAGGTTGACTCCATGACAGGCTTCAAATTGTCAGTTTAGGAGACTAGGCCTAAGAACTGGACAAGTCCGGGTAAACCCAGGCAGGTCAGTTACTAGAAAACCCCCAAGCTTCAGGCAGCTAGTCAGAAACTGCCCTGCCCTCAGAGGCTGCCCTGCCCTCGGAGGCTGCCCTGCCACCTGGTCTGAGGCAAGGACAATGGGTCAGCAACAGTTTCCAGATTTCCTCAGTAACAGTTTCCAGACCTCAGTTTCCAGCCCCCACGTCCAGGTAATGGACTCTCCTTAAAGATGGAGTAAGATGGAGTTTACCTACCCCAGAATCCCCTAATGTGCTTTAAATCAGGCCTGCGAGCTCACTTGGGTGTCTCTCTATTCTGCTAACGGGAGACCCCAGCAAGCTGGACTTCTGCAGAATAAAACACTCTTTGCGTTTACATAGTATTTGAGTCTGGGGTACCATTCTCCGGTGAATCATGGACCCTTACACATACATTTGTAACTTTCAGGCCCATAGTCCTGGTACTTAGGGGAGGGGAGGAGTCCCAAGACCAAGGGAGAAAGAGATCACACCCTTGAGGAATAGACAGGTGGGGAAACAGACTGTACTTATCTGGAGAGACACCCAACCATTAAGAGCACTGGCTGCTCTTCCAGAGGACCCAGATTGGATTCAGAGTATCCACATGGCAGCTCACAACAGTCTGTAACTTGTTTCAAAGTTAACTGATGACCTCTTCTGGGGTTGTCATGTAGGCAAAACACCCATACCCATAAAAGAAAAAAATTAAAAATTAAATTGAAAATCTTTAAAAATATAAATCTTTTTTTTTAAAAAAAAAAAAAGAAGATGGTAGAGGCTAGCTGCTAGCTGGAGAGATGGCTCAGCAGTTAAGAGCTCATACTGCTCTGAATTTGGTTCCCATTATTCATGTCAAGTGGTTCAGAACTGTCTGTAAATCCAGTTCCAGAGAACTCCGGCTCCCTCTTCTGGATCCTGCAGCCATCTCCGCTCACATGAGCGCGCGTGCACACACGCATATGCATGTAACTAAAAATAAATATTGGGGGGCTAGGAGATAGAGAGGTAACGGTTTCTTTAAGAGTGGCGGCTCAGAAGCCACGCCCGGACATGCGTGTCACGCCCCGCCCACTGAAGGCTGGACTTGCGGCGGTTTGAAAGATCCGTTCGCTGAGCTGCGTGGCTCGACTGCCGCTGAGATGTCGGTGCTGAGGCCGATGGAGAAGCTGCCAGACCTGAACAGGGCTACAGTCTTGGTAGGTGCGGGCGGCGCCCCTGGGCCGTCTTCCCGCAGCCTCGGCCGGAGGGCTTCCGCAACATTAGCGTTGCTCAGACAGCGCGGGGCGGGCGGGCGCATTGCTCTGGACCAATCGGAGCGGCGGTTCGCAAGGCTGGACGCCTCCACCAATAGGCGCTCGGGGGCGTTCCAGTTCGAATTTGGCTTTCCCGCGTTTCAAGGAAGAGGCCGGTCGGTCCCTCCGTGGATGGCCCCTTAGGGTGCTCTTCTTGGGAAATGGCTCCCTCCGAGCCGCCTCTACCTGAGTGTGGACCCCCCGGAGGGATTCAAAGTGCGCAGCCCTCCAGAGGAGCCGCCATGCTCGGGTCTCCACTTGCCTGGTTCTCTCCCTTCGCAGCTGGTGAGCACGGAGGATGCGCTTCTGCAGCAGCTGGCGGAGTCGATGCTCAAAGGGGACTGTGCGTCCGAGCTGAGGGTGTAAGTTGCTGAGGTTGGAGCCTGAACTCTGGGCTGGCCTAAGGGAAGGGAGCCTGCGGGAGAGAGCCCAACGCCTAGCTACGGTCAGTCCTCAGTGACCCTGCCCACGGTTGCTGAACTGGCTCCTTTACAGGTCTCTTCAAATGTTCACAACTCATAACGTACGCCGAAAACACACTGACGGGTTGGGTATTTTCTAATTGAGGCTCTGAGTTTGGACGTCAGCATCTAGAAACAACGGCGGACGTTGTGTTTGTTTCTTTTCCTTTTCCTCTTGTTGTGATAAAATACCCTGAGAAACACATCTTAAGAGAGAAAGGACATGTTTAGCTTCCTCGTTGCTGGAGAAGTCGATGCTTCGGGAATTTGAAGCACTTGGTCACTGTATATCCACGGTCAAGCGGAAGCAACAAACAAACACATGCATGCTAGTTTTTAGCTGGCTTTCCACACTTAAGACAGTTGAAAATCCTCTCCTAGGGAATGGTGTCACTTGTAGTGGGCCTGCCGGCCTACCTCAGCCCTACTAAGAAATTACAAACTAGGGCTGGAGAGGTGGCTCAGCAGTTAAGAGCACTGACCGCTCTTCCAGAGGTCCTGAGTTCAATTCCCAGCAACTGCATGGTGGCTCACAACCATCTATAATTCGATCCGTTGCCCTCTGCATGTGCATGCAGGTAGAGTACTCAAACATTACAGTCCTTCACAAGGCATCTAAAAAGTTGTGACTCCCCAAGGTGACTCTAGATTGTGTCAAATTGACAATTAAAAGTAACCATAACAAAGTGACCAAAACCCTAGGGGAGTAGAAAATAAACACCATTTCCAGACCAACATAAGAGGACACATTTGTAATCATGGCGGAGGCAGGAGGCTCCAGGTCATTCTCTGTTATATATCTAGCCTGGTCTACATAAGACAAACCAGAACAATAAAAGAAGTCACCCGCCCACCTATTTACATGTTTCTGGTCCCTACCCCACCCCCCAAACCATATCCATCTTAGGACAGAGATTTTGACTCTTGTTCACTGATGAACCCCCAAGGCTTTAGGCAGTAGCTAGCACAGAGTAGATACTCTGTTAATAACTGTTGGGTTAATCTGGTTAATTCATGATCCAAGAAATGCTGAAACTGTCTCCGGCTGGTACAAATGTAAGGATGTCTGAGGAAAGCTTGGTGAGCTAGTCCAGAGAAATGAAGTAGAAAATGGCAAATATCCGGCAACAAATTCTGAGAATTCCTTAGTGCCCCCAAATTTGTAGGAAGCAGTAATTATTGTGTTTTGGTTTTTTTGTTTTGTTTTGTTTTCTGACCTCATTGAGCTTCCAGGTGTGAGAATATGAACCATATTAACACCAGCTCAGTCTCATAACTCAGAAATACAAGAGGAGTTTCGAAAATTCATTTTCCCTTGAACAGTGTGTTTGTAATTCCAGATACGAAAGAAGCTGGAAGAGGGAGATGTATATTTTCTGTAATTTTTTTGTAGGCATGGTGGCACAAGCCTGTAATCCCAGCACAGGTGGCAGAGGCAAAAGGATCAGGGGTTCAAAGGTTAACTTAAACTAAGAAAGGTAAAGGCCCTACTGGGGCTACGTAATCCCTTTGATATGAGGCAGATATGGGCTCTTGTCTAAACTATGCATCTTTGAAAAAGAATGACATTTTTAAAAAATGAATGTTATACTTTTGGTATTCCTTGAATTATAATCTAAGAGAGGTTTTGTTTGTTTGGTTGTTTTTCTTTTTTAAAGGCCTGGCATGGTGGTGCACGCCTTTAATCCCAGTGCTTGGGAGGCAGAGACAGGAGAATCTCTGTGAGTTTAGGGCCAACCTGGTCCACATAGCAAGTGCTACATAGAGAGACCCTGTCTCAAAAGGAGAGGTGGGGGGTGAGATGGATCAGCAGTTAAGAGCACCACTGCTCTTCCAGAGGTCCTGAGTTCAATTCCCAGCAACTACACGGCCATCTTAAAGGCCATCTTAAAGGGATCTGATGTCCTCTTCTGACATGTAGGTACATATGCAGACAGAGCACTCCTATATTTAAAAATCATCATTTTTTTTAAAAAAAGAAAAGAGAATGCCATATATACCAAGAATGGGCAGCAGAATTGAAGAAAAGCCTTCAGATGGGTGTTTGGCAACTAGAGATCAAGTCCAAATAAAGACTTAGCTGAGGACACACAGCTAGCTAATGAAAACAACTGGGTGGAATCCATGTCTGCCTCATACCAAAGGGATTCAGTCTTACCCCCTGACCACCTCCATCCAGCATCCCTCCCCTGAGCCTGGTCTTCCTCCGAGCCAGCAGGGTTTGAGTCCTCTTAGCACAGTGGTCACTGACAGCCCCTTCTGACAGAAGAAATCAGTCCAGAGAGGTTTGAGCAGAACTGGCTCCATCCTGCTGGGCTCCTTCAGAGACAGCTTCTTTCCCTATAAAGGACAATGTGTTACCTTGTCCTTTGACTGTGAGCTGGGTATGTGTGTCTAATCCTGTAATGTCTTGTTTTTCAGCCACTTGGCCAACTCCCTCCCTTTGCCCTCCAATGTGAACCGGCCCCGAATTGACTTGATTGTGTTTGTGATTAACCTTCACAGCAAATACAGGTGAGAGCCAGCACAGGACTCTAGCTTGGGGAGTGCTAGAACAGTGACCTTATGATGGGAAGGCAGGAGGCAGTGGGAGGCTGCCCAGGGCAAGGAGGGAGGACTGCAGAGTTTGAAAGTCAAATCATGACAGCGTCACCCATTCGTCTAGGTAATGTTTGCTGAGATACACTATATACACTTAGCAACGGAGAAGGAAACATCCCTGCCCGTATACCACGTGCATCCCTGGTACCTGCAGGGGGCAAAGAAAGCATCCTACCTGCTACAGCTGCAGCTACAGACAGCTGAGAGCTGCCATGTGGGTTCTGGGATGTAAACTCATGTCCTCAGGAAGAGCACTCAGTGCTCCTAACCTTTGAGCCAGCCCAAATTCCTGGCCTTGTTTTATTTATTTTGGTTGCAGCACTGGTGATAGGACACAGGCCCTTGGACTCTCCTAAGGTTTTTCACGCTGGGGATTAAATTTCAGCACATGACCTCGTAAATACACTAAACCATATCAAAACTACAACAGGGGCTGGAGAGATGGCTCAGCGGTTAAGAGCACTGACTGCTCTTCCAGAGGTCCTGAGTTCAAATCCCAGCAACCACATGGTGGCTCACAACCATCTTTAATGGGATCTGATGCCCTCTTCTGGTGTGTCTGAAGAGAGCAATGGTGAATACATAAAATAAATAAATCTTTAAAAAAAAAAAAAAAAAAACTACAACAGTCAGGAGTTGGACAGTATTTGACAAATTACTACTATTTTTAAACACACCACTGTATTTGCACATAAAAGAAAAGTCCTCAAAGAATCACACCCCAAATTGGCAACAGTTTTTTTCTGGAGAATTGGCAGCAAAGGGTGGTGCTAAGAGGATTTTTTTTTTTTAATCTTATGTGTGTGGGTATTTTGCCTGCATGTAAGTCTGTGTGCAATATGTATGCAGGGCCCACTGAGGCCAGAAGTGGACATTGGATCTCCTGGAACTGGAGTTAGAAACAGTTGTGAGCTGCCATTATGGGTGTTGGGGATTGAACCTGGGTCCCCTGGAAGAGTTGCAAGTGCTCTTAACCACTGAGCCATATCTCCAGCCCCAAGGGAAGGACTCTTACTGTGTGTGTGTGTGTGTGTGTGTGTGTGTGTGTGTGTGTGTGTGTGTTCATATTTGCTGCTTGATTATTTTATAAGCATTCATGAACTTCTAAGTAAAGCTAAACTTTAAAACAGGGTATATGGGGCTGGACAGGTGGTTCAGCGGCTATGAAAGTTTGGTCCCCAGCACCCATAAGAGGTTCATAGCCTTCTGTAAATCCAGCTCCAGGAGATCCAATGCCTCTGGCCTCCACAGACACCTGTATTTGTGTACCTAAATTCATGCAAGCTCCTGCCTATACGTACTTTAAAATTAATACCTTTTAAAAAATAAAAGCACAGGGAATCCCAGCATTTGAGGTATAGAGACTGGAAAGGTCAGATGTTCAAGGTCATCTTAAGGCCAGCCTGAGCTACCTGAGATCTTGACACAAAGGATACACACATCATAAATGTCAAAAAAAAAAAAATCACCCAGATTTTAGCTCGACATTCTGGTGTGTGTGTCGTAATTCCAGTGTGTCTTTCTGTCTTATGGTTGTTTTCTTGCCTGGCTCTTCCGTCCCAGCCTCCAGAAAGTGGAGGAGTCTCTGAACCATGTGGACAGCCATTTCTTCCTGGGGAAAGTATGCTTCCTTGTCACAGGGGGTAAGTCTGGCCTCTTCCTGCTACACCTGCTACACCCCACCTAGCTAGAGCTAGCACTTATAGACCCTTGCTGAGGCAGCCTGTAGAGAGGTTCTCTTTACCTGACTACTGACTTTTTTAAGATTTATTTTATTTTTTTAAATTTTATGTACATGGGTTTTTTTGCCTGAGGAGGCCAGAAGAGGGTTTGGGATCCTCTAGAACTGTAAGTTGCAGGTGGTTCTGAGCCACCATGGGTGCTGGGAGTCAAACTCGGGTCCTCTGGAAGAACGGTAAGTGCTGCTAACTGCTGAGCCATGTCTCCAGCCCCAATTAAGAATGTACTTTTGAAGGTGGGCGTGGTGGCACTCACCCTTAATTGCAGCCCTTGGGAGGCAGTGGCCGGTGGATCCCGGGCGGGTGTAGCCTGAATGAAGTGTGCCTGGCTTCTTTGCAGCCGGACGGGAGAGCCACTGCAGCATCCACCGGAACACGGTCATAAACCTGGCCCGCACCTACCGAAGCCCGGTGCTCTTCTGTGATTTACAGGTGAGAGCCCTGCTCACTGTACAAGGGAAGAGCGGTGAGCAGACAGTGAGCATATCAGGACTGCTTCCTGACCGGTCCCCAAGTCTCCACTTGAGATGACACCTGATATGGAGGGAGGCATGTAACTGTGGTTTGAGGCTTAGCTCAAGTCTCGTGTGTGTATTTGGAAGTCCCTGTTAATATCCCACTCTCCTGCTGGAGGCTAAGTTCTTAGGAGATAAGGTGTCGTCATGTCTGTCTCATTAACCAGCGTATCCTGGTGTCTTCCCAGCAGTCAGAGTGCCTGATGTCCTCGTAACCTCCACAGACTGCAGAGCTTGTCTGTAGTGTCATGTAGTGTCACAGGACAGGACGCATAGCAAGTAATAGGGACATTTGTTAGACGGGCAGTTCTATAGCTGGGTGTAGTGCTTCCATTCTGATATTTTTATTTTGTGTGTGTGTTGTGTGCACACTGTGTGGTGGATCATGTACCTGCGCATGCCCAGAAGCCAGAGTAGGATATCGGGTGTCCTTTATCTCTATCTGCCTAATTCCCTTGAGCAGAGTCTTCACTGAACATGGGGCTAGACTGATTGCTAGCTAGAAATCCTCCTGCCTGTCTCTCCTGCTCACTTACCCCCTGAGACAGCTCTGGAACCCCAGAAGTGCACACTGCGTTGATCGGTGTTGTTATCCCTGGGAGAATTACTGAAGGTTCTCTGGGCCTGAGCTGTCCTACCCATGGACCTGACTTGCTCAGTTGCTCCAAGGGATCTTTTTGTTATTTTCAAGGTTCGTTTTGAACAGTTACATCCTGGATCTGGCACCTTTTCTCAAAGACAAAGAGGCTCAGTGAGAACCAAGTTGGGACAGAACCCCACACATCCTGTGGTCTGGGGTGTCCTGTTATGGGGTCTGTGGTCTGCACCAGTGATGGCAGAATTCAGGTGATCTATAAACTTAGATTCGAAGTAGAACTTAGCCCCTCCCTGAAGCCAGTCGTAGAAACTTTGTGAGTTCTTTTGCTTACCCTTTATCCCTGTATCAGTAGATAGAAAGGAGAGAGGGGAGAAAGGGTGATACAGATCTCTGAATCCAATTTCTTGTTTCTTCTTTGAGCACTACGTCTAACAAACCATAACCAATCTCCCTTAACAAACTACATCACTCGCCCTGCCCCTTGGGCCCCTAGCATTTATACACCCTCTGAAAAGTTCACAGAATTCCAAATGTCACACAATTGCAGAAGCTATTTGTAGCTGGCAAAACCATGCCTCTGCTAGAGCACAAAGCAAATCACAGTCAGCTGCTGCGGACAGTCCAAAGCACCCTCATATCCCACACCTGGGATTAAGACAGAAACATTCTTCTAGTTCTGTGATTTTTTTTTTTTTAATAAAGAAACCAAAATTCCAGAATTATCACGCACCTCCCCCACAGCACTATACTAACCCATGGTTGAAATTGAGCTGAATTAGCCAGGAGCGTCAGTAGGAATAGCTAAGTTAGCAGTTACCAACAGACAGTGATGCTGGGGTGTTGGCTTATTGGTTGAGAGCATTTGCTGTTCTTACAGAGGACCTGAGTTTGGTTTTCAGCATCCACCTAACAGCTCACAACTGTCTGTATCTCTAGACCTGATGCCCTTTTCTGTCCTTCTCAGGAACCAGGTGCACTCATGGTGCATAGATAATGCGTACAGGCAGAACACCTGTGCACATGAGAGGTACTGATGCTTTCGCTTACATGTTAGGGCTAGCCTCATCACTACTGTGTTCTGGTTGTTACAGTGCCCCCCCCCCAGATCACCCCTAGAATCCCTGACTAGACCCAAGTTCTGCTTTCAAAGGTGCCACCCGGCGCTCCCGGCACACCTGAAGTGTCTCCCATGCCAGGCTTTCCTCATAACAAAGCTAAGAAGACACTCCAAGAAGAGTCGTCTTGCTCAGTCACACAGCTGTAAGCTAGGCCAGTTGGCTAGTGTGCAGCCGATTCCCCACTGTGGCCTGCTTTCTGTGAGTCACCAGGCACCCACTTCTCAGTAGTTTTGTTTTGTACTGAAGAAGTCACCTTTGCTCCATAACCGAGGTACAGGTAGGTGGTGGCTGTGGTGCCTGCTAACCTGTATGACAGGTGCTGTTGCAGTTTCACATATGGCCACGAGGTGGCAAGCCACACCAGCTTTTGAGTTTGCATGGGGATAGAGGCCTGGAATAGAGCAGAGATGTGGCTCACAAGGTAACGGCCTGCTCTCAGCCTGAGTTCTGCCCCTGGGACCCATTTGGAAGAAAGAGAGAGTAGACGCCTTGCAAGTTGCCCTCTGACCTTTGTGCGTGGGTTTCTCTGTGTAGCTTTGGCTATCCTGGAACTTGCTCTGTAGATCAGTCTGGTTTCCAATTCAGAGGTCCTCCTGTCTCTGCTGGGGTTAAAGGTCACCACTGGCCAGCCTTTTCCTCTCTCCCCTCCCCCACTAAATGTAATCTTTAAGAGAAAGGAAAGTCCCAGGCCAAGTGTGTAGAGGAGAGCAGAGGCTCCTGTGTGTTTCCAGCTGGCAGCAGGGCTCCCAGTCCCTGCCCAGAACGCAGGCCTCCATCCTTCAGATGAAGAACTCATCTTTAGACTGTCAGTCCCTGCACGCGGTCCGAGTTATCCTTTTCAGGGTATACTCCTTGTCTTATCAAGTTGGAACCTCAACATATTTGGAGGTCATTGTGTAACAAGAATTGCTAGTTCTTTTATAGGCAAGGAAACACTCTAGGACAGTGGTTCTCAGCCTGTGTCTCCTGCCTGTCAGATACTTATATTATCATGTATAACAGTCGCAAAATACAGTTATGAGGTAGCAGCAAAATACATTTATGGTTGGGGTCACACGGCATGAGGAACCATATTAAAGGGTCCCAGCATTGGGTAGGTTGAGAACATTGCTCTAAGAGGTGTGTGATTCCCCTAGTGGCGTTGTCTACCAGCAGGGCCTGTGCTAGTGCTTGGTAACAAAAATAAGGCAAACGCTGGCCCAGTCTTGTCAGAATCTAGTGAGGTAACGGTTGGCAGCCTGGCAGAGTATGTCTTCCCATATGACATGGCAAAGTCATGGCTGTGGTCAGAAGGGGCAGGGCATGTCTGCACAGGGTGTGAGTGACAGGAGGCAGTGGTGGCACTCAGGCTAAAGCAGCAGGAGGTTGAAGAGTTAGACCTTTGAGGAGAGTTATTCAAAATATCTCACATGCACCATGTGCCTAGCACCATGTAGGCATTAGAGGCACCGCACAGAACGAAACAGTGAAGTACACATATGTTCATCCTGGCTGTACACTTGTCAGGAACACAAACAGGCCACTTGTTTGTTTGCAAAGTAAACAAGAGTGACTAGGTTGGGGCTCGTGGGCAGAATGGATTCCGAGGCAGGAAAGAGCTTGTGATTCAGCAGCGGACATGGTGCTGACAGAAAGCGCTGGTCACGAGTGCTAAGTGCAGAGGCCTAGAGCGAGCTGCTGTGTCACAGGGCCTTCAGAGAGGCCTGGGCAGGAGGAGCTGGGGGCCTGGAGCAGTGGGAAATGTCAGCAGTGATGGTCATGTCCTTGAGTCGGTAGTAAAGACTCTGGCTTTTACTTGGAATAAAACTGGAGCTGCTGAAGTTTGGAGCCTAGGAGGCGTGTGGCTTTGCTCTGGACATGAGAGAGATGAAGAGGGAGAGGAGGGCAGAAATGAGGACAAGGTTTAGAGATTTTTCTGGATGGGTTGATTGGCCTGGATTCATTGGTGTCCAGGAGAGAGTGACATGGACTAGCCCATAGTCTTTGCTGGAAACATCTTGGACAGTCACCAGAATGTGCTGGTGGCCAGATGTGAGGTGACAGGAAGACAAGTAAGGGACAACTGAGGCTTCCGGCATGACAGCGGGTAGCATGGCGCTCCTATAGAGATGAGACAAGGTTGCAGGGACTCAGTGACGGGCTGACAGTGCCCTGAAGCCGCTGGTGGAGCACTGTCTGCTGTTCCGAAAACATCTGTAAGTGTCTCTTACTTGTCCACCACTCACTGGTTCAGGACTCGGACAGCTTCTTCACCCCCAGCTCCCGTGGGCCCTCCACCCCAATAAAGGGATTACTTGTAGGTGACACGTCCTATCCATCCACCCTTCTGTCCCTGTGGCTTCCTACAGTGCCTGTCAGTGACTGGAACTAGCAGTGGTTGAGGTCCAACCTCTGCAGTGACTCCTCTGTGACCCTGCACTTGACAGTGACCAGTCTTGCTGGTCAAGTCCCCCATTTCCTCTTGATCGGGGCTCAGTGTCTCTGGGTTTGAAGAATGAGGTAGGAAGCTGCCCGGTAGGGATTGACCATAGGTACCCCTGCATCTCCTCCAGCTCTACCTGAGAGTCTTCACTGAGTATGGCCGCCAGGCCAGCCACCCCCTCACTGCTGTTCTTTGCTCTTCCCTGAAGGTGGAAAGCTTTCGAGCTGCCATGGCGCAGCGCCTGGTGCGCGTGCTGCAGATCTGCGCTGGCCACGTGCCGGGCATCTCAGCGCTCAACCTGCTGTCCTTGCTGAGGAGCCCCGAGAACCTCCAGTCCAAGGAGCTGTGAGCACTGCTGCTGTCTACACATTTGGTGCCAACTCCATAAGCAGTCACCGTTGGCGAAGACCAGTCAGGGTCTGACAGGCCCGGAGGCAGCCTGCTTACTGCAAGGACTTAGTTCCACCAGGGAATGGGGAGACGGCCCAGCAGTTAAGACCCCACCAGCCTCCTGTCTCTCACCTCACCCCACAGAGGCCCTGTCTTCACCTGTCTAACATCATATATCCACCTAAGGTTTTGGAACAAAGAGCCATGGCTTTAAAAAAAAAGGAAAGAAAATGTGTCTCTCTCCCCACTTTGACTTTGCAATGCAGAAACTGACTCAGTACAATTACGGGGGCAGAGTGCAGTTTCCAGGAGCCCAGGGAAAATGTCGTGTGCTAGCCCTGGTACTCCTACAGCCTGGCTGCTGCTCCCTGACGCCTGGTTCCCTGGTGTAAGAGGGGATGGTTCTACTCATGTCGAGAGGATTGATGAAATGGCAGGTAGCTTGCTGTCCGAGACCACATTACTCCCTACAGCTTGTAGGTCACACACTGTGTCATGCCTCGCACTGAAACAGCAAGGCAGTCCACAAGCTAACAATCATGCTTTTTTTAAAAACAAAAAAAAAAACAAAAACAAAAAAACAGACTGAGCTATCAGGTTTCTCTGTGTAACCTTGACTATCCTAGAACTCAGGCTGTAGACCAGGCTGGCTTTGAACTCAGAAATCCACCTGCCTCTGCCTCCCAAGTGCTGGGATCAAAGGCGTGCACCACCACACCCAGCCTGACATATCTTTCTGTCTTGAAGGTAAGCCCCTGCATCCCAGTAGGTTCCTGTGAGGCCACACTCATCACCTGACACTCACAGTGCTTCACGCTTCACAGGGTTGTGCTCCCACAGCGGTGGCTCCTGTCGCCTTCCCAGCGGGCCTGTAGGGTTCATGAGAGTCGGCACTGAAGGTGAGCCCATAGTCAGCCTGCACTTCCCTTAGTTCTGCGTGGTCCAACAAAGGTGTGGCCTGGAGGACCTGGGATGGGAACACAAGGGTTTAATGCCTGAGAAAGCAGCAGTCCTGTAAGCTGAAAACCTTACCTCAGTGCAGACTGCCATGGTGCTCTGTCAGTACACAGGACCAACCCAGGGGACCCTGACAAAACATTCAGTCAAGGGGGCCAACACAGGTGGATCCAGGAGAAGGGAAAGGCAGCAAGCAATTGAGAACATTTACACTGCTCCTAGAGGACACCGGACCGGAGGGCCAGCCTTCTCTCAAAGCTTCTTGGGGACTAGCATTGTCCCCAGATCCCTTCGGTACCCTGGGTCCTAAAGCGGGGTGGGAGGGCAGCACCTGAGCTAGAGGACACAGCATGGGCAAGGCGTTCTGTCACCTTTTGCTGACAACAGGAAGCTGCTCATCCCTTAACCCTCTCGTAGTGTGATGTGCACATCTCCGCCTCGGGTCCCTGCGCCACGTTTTCTTTGCCACCTGGTGCCATTTAACAAGAGAAATGGCATCACATTCTCCAGCGAGGGCCTGGGAGCCTTCCAAGAGCTGGGTGAGCTTGAGGGAGCTTGAGGCTGTCGCTGCTGCCAGCTCCCTGCCAAGCTTGGCAGCGACCGTGGAACTAGAGGCACCTCTCTGGGGTTTGGGCTGGCCTGCTGCTGATGCACAGCAGAGCTGAGTGACACTTAAATGTCAGTCAGGTGCCCGCAGACCTCACTGAAGACTGCAGGGACTGGTTGCTCCTGGCAGTGTGTCTGACTGAGGATGTGACACGCTGGAGTCGTTAGGTGACTCGGGCTCAGCTGACCCTAGAAGCTACCAGGTGCCTGCTACCTTCTTTAGGACTAAGATCCTCCTGAGAGAACTTAGTTTACATCACAGGTCCCCTAGGCTAGGCTACCTGCTATGGGCAGTTCTTACACCCCTTCAGGAAGCCCAGCTCTCTGCAGGAAGATGCAGTGACCCAGGAGTTCTGGCAAATGTCTAGTGTGACTTCTGTCCCTGCCTTAGTGGTGGTAGCAGGCCATTCCTATAGAGAAGGAAGCTACAGAATGACATCCAGTGTCCTCCACCTGGCTGGGTGCAGCTCACGTCTGTAGCCAGCAGACGTGAGAGGAACTGGTTTTTCAGGCCAGCCTGGGCTACAGCATATGACCAGTTCCTAAAAGGGGGGAGGCAGATGGGATGGTTTGTGGGGTAGACATTTACTTTGTGAGGCTGACTTCCACATAAAGGTAGGAGAGGACGCACTGAAAGTTGTCCTCTGGCCTCACACACATCATACAATATTAATGTGGTTTGTAATAAGGGCCGGGGGCGTGGCTCCATCGGTAGATGCTTCCCTAGCGTGTGCGAAACCCTCCTTCAGTCCACAGCACCACATGAGGCATAGTGGCTCAAACCAGTAATCCCTGCACGCAGGAAGGAAGGTTCAAGGTCATCAGCTATATAGTTCATTTGAGGCCAGTCTGGGCTCCATGAGACCCTGTCTGATACAAAGCAGGGCCAACAGGGCAGGATGGCTGTTTACTGCCAAGCCTGATGACCTGAATTTCATCTCCAGAACTCACTCCTGCAAATTGTCCTTTGACCTCCCTATACATGCATATGCCCACCCAAATGCCATCTATAGAAATAGAATTCAAAACACCACACACATACACACACACACACACACACACTTCAACAGAGGCCTGGGCTGCTTAGCCACAGAGGCAGAAGTGAAGTGGAAAAGGACCAGGTCTGCAAGTCTCACCAGGATGCTTGTGAGTGTGGAGGTCAGGAGGTCAGCCTCGGTGTCTTCCTCTACCGGCTTAGTTTTGAGTCAGCATCTCTCACAGAGCTTGAAGTAAGAAAACATCACACCCCTCATCCCCTGGTACCCTCCTTGAGATTTTTTTTTCTCTCCAAAGCCCTTCTTATCCTTTGCCTACTAGAATAGTTCCTTGCTGGAATTTGGCTCTATGGCTGCCTGTTGCTGCTCACTGCTCCAGGACTTAGTGGGTGCCTGGTGCATAGTCAGTACTTTCTAGATGGTGAACTAGCAGTCTGTGGGGTCTCCGGGAGGCCCAGAGACCAGCCACAGCTCGCTCTGCAAGCTGGGGAAGTTCCCATTCCTCCACAGTGTCAGTCTCTACACAGCTGCCTATCGGGTCCCTGGGTGAGATTCCACGGCTGCAGCCAAGAAGCTGAAGGTCTGTGGTCTATTGTCTAGTACTGAAGGCCCTGTGTCCCCACACCAAGGCCATGCTTACAGAATGACAGAGCTGGAACTCTGTCATGATAGTGCACAGTGGGTGTGTAGGGAGGGGACTCCCTGACCACTGTTGTGCCTGGGGCTCCTGCTGCAGTCTCCATCCTAATCCTCCCACCACACCACACCCCCAGCCTACCCCCTGCCCCTTCTCATCCCTCTTCAGTGAACAAAAGCCCAAGGGGACTTTCCAACATCCTCGGTTTCTTAGAACTAGATACAAGACGGGGAGAGCAAGGAAGCCTCTACTCTGAGAACTGGACACTGAAAAAAATGGGGTGGGGCTAAAAGAGTGCGTGTGAAGACCCTGGGCACCGGGAAGGCCCCAGGGCAGCCCGAGTTATGACTCATGTCTCAAAAGAACAAAAAGCCTTCACATGTGTACCTGGGGCTGTGCATGAGCAGTCCCCAGAGCTCAGGCAACTGGGGGACTCCCACCACTTCAAACTCAGAAACTACTGTGTTGATGGGCTCTTAATGAGACTGCAGGTATTAAAGCTAAAACTGGCGCTGAAGCTTGAGAACACCCGGGTCTCAGCAGTTTCACATGCAGATCTGGGATGCCCGGGCCTCTCTGTCCCCAGGGACTGCCTCCCCCACCCCCACCACACTGGGCTTGTCCCATACACACAGAGTGGCCCTACTTCCCTGACCCTGTCTCTGAAGCATGAAGAATACAGGCCATGCTTTGCCGTCAGGTGGGTGCAGACCCCCTCCACCCTCCATGAAGGCCTTTGTTCCCGTTGGCTCATCCTGTAAACGCCCTTGAAAGCCTGTGTCTTCATCAAAAGCTGTTTGAGTTAAGTTTTCAGGACAAGAATTCCAAACCCTACCCTAATCCTCAAATGAATTACCTTTCAAAAAAAAAAAAGCATGGGACTTTAATCCAAACACTGAGCAGTGGGAGAGGCAGGTGGGTCTAATCTGGGCCTAGCAGTGTGCCCACAACTTCAGCACTTGATGGACAGGTCAGAAGTTCAAGATCATCCTCAGCTAATTACGAATTCAAAGCCAGCATTTAGCAAATGAAAAGGTTGAGACCAGTGAGACAAAAAATTTGATTAGAAAGGGTTTCACCAACAAAGTCCCTCTTTTTTTTGTTTTGTTTTGTTTTGTTTTCTGAGACAGGGTTTCTCTGTGTAGCCCTGGCTGTCCTGGAACTCACTCTGTAGACCAGGCTGGCCTCAAATCCACCTGCCTCTGCCTCCTAAGTGCTGGGATCAAAGGCGTGTGCCACCACCGCCTGGCTTCAAAGTCCCTCATTTTATATTCAAGAATATAATACGAACAGGCTGTTTAGAGGTACTTGCTTCTCAAGACGGCCACCTGAACCTGCCTCCCAGAACTCTCGAGAGCTGCCCTCTGGCATCGCGTGCACTGTGTGTGGCCCACGTGTGCTCCACTCACACACGTCATAAACACAAATAATAAAATAAAAATGTGGTGTTTTGAAGCAAGTTTTTTTGTAACCCAGTCTGGCCTTGGGCTCCTGATCCTCCTGCCCCATCCCCCACCCACAAGGGCTGGCGTTATAGCTACCATCCTCGGCAGTGTGGGAAAAGAGAAGAATGCAGTGAAGTCACATCAAATCGAAATAAAAATTGCATTTTTTTTAAATGCGTGAAAGGTGGGGCAGGTGGGATGTGCCTGTAGGCCCAGATATTCCAGAGGGAGAGGTAGGAAGTTTGCTTGAGCCCTGAAGTGTGAGGCCAGCCTTGACACCAATGGCAAGATCCTGTCTGTTCTAAAATAATACATAAACGATGTTTTATTTATTTATTTTTTATTTTATTTTATTTTTGGTTTTTCGAGACAGAGTTTCTCTGTATAGCCCTGGCTGTCCTGGAACTCACTCTGTAGACCAGGCTGGCCTTGAACTCAAAAATCCACCTGCCTCTGCCTCCCAAGTGCTGGGATTAAAGGCGTACACCACCACTGCGTATGCAAGAAAGAGAGAAAGAAAGAAAGAAAGAAAGAAAGAAAGAAAGAAAGAAAGAAAGAAAGAAAGAAAAAAAAAAGAAAGAAAGGAAGGAAGGAAGGAAGGAAGGAAGGAAGAAAGGAAGGAAGAAAGGAAGAAAGGAAGGAAGAAAAAGAAATTAAGGAAGGAAGAAAGACAAAACCCTGTTAAAAGGAAAACATGCAAGCACTACAGCGAATTTGAAACTCACTTCTTGATGATTTCATAGTCAAAAGTGGCACAGAAGGGCTTCTAGCTTGAGAAGGTAGCTAGCCCAGAGGGGGCACAGAAGCCACACCACCTCCAGAGTGTCCCCTGTGCCGCTGTCCATCCTTTCTCTGAGTCCAAGAAGCTAGTGATGTGCGTGACGCAGAAGGATGAGTTTAAGAATGAGTGAGCTTGGGACTGGAGAGGCTGCTCTGGCAGAGGACCGGGTTCAGTTCCCATGGTAACTCACATCTGTCTGTAACTCTAGCTCCAGAGGATCTTACCTCTGAGGGTGTATACCTGCACACACTGTACACAGACATAGACTCAGACACTCATGCATATAAAATAAGCATTAAGAAGTAATCAACTAGCCTGGTGGTGGTCGTGGCACACACCTTAAGTCCCAGCACTCTGGAGGCAGAGGCAGATGAATCTCTGAGTTCAAGGTCAGCCTGGTCTACATAGGAAGTTTCTGGACAGCTAGAGGTACAAAGAGAAAACCTGTCTCAAAAAAAGAAAAAGAAAAAAGAAAAAGAAGAATGCACTGAAGATGTAGCCTAACGTTTCCTGCATCAGTGAGCTCTCTCTCTCTCTCCCTTCCCCTCCTGGTCTTGTCCTCTCTTCATCTCTGGGCCTTATGTAGACCAGAATGGACTCCCCAAACCCATTATGCAGCCAAAGGATAGCCTTGAACTTGTGGGCCCCCACCTTCCTGGTGCTGTGCTGAGACTATAGGTGTATTCCAGTATCCTAGTCTGTGCCGTGATGGGGCCGGAAGCCAGAGCTTTGTCCATTTGAGGCAAACTTTCTGCCAACCGAGTGACATCATTAATCCCCAAATCTCTTCCTAACCATGAAACGAAACCATCCAAGCAGAGACTCAAGGACCACCTCAGCCTCTGCCCCCATCCCCACCTCAGAGGTTCAAGTGAAAATACCTGGCTGAGGTCAGGCACCTGGACACCACAGACGTGATCCCACAGGCCTTTTGCTACCCACTCTGTCCCCACCCCGCTTAGTCTGGTGCCTGTCTCAATGGGACCCATAGGAAATGCCCGGCGAACATTTCTGTCAAGTGACTAATTTTCCTCCTGTCCTTCCGTCCTTCCAGATGTCAAACCTCCCTCTCTGGCTGAGGTGAAGGACTTTGTAATTTTGACTGTGAGTTCCAGCTCTCAGTCTGTTCAGCTCCAGTGTCTGAATAAAAACTAAGATACCTGGTACTCAGGCAGGGCTCCATGGCCCTAACAGTGACAAGTCAGGCCAGCAGTGACAGAGGTGGGTGTGGGCACAGGGTTGCAGCGAGGTTTCTGGCCTCATGCCTCTGTCCTATGAGAAGGGCTCTCCCTGCCCTAGCTGCTCTCCATATGCTTTCCCTCCCCCCACGTCCCCATACACCCACACTCACACCCACACCCACCCTCCTAGGCCCACTTCTCCTTTGCAGCTACTCTGCCGCCTACACCTTCCTGCTGTGGAGTTGCTGGCCCATAGGCAAGGGCATGGACAGCCAACGGGCCAGAACCCCTAGAGGCTGGCTGAGTAGCTTTCTGTGTCGGTCCTCAGGATCTCCTCTTACCAATTTTGATCCCCTCAGTCCATGGTCAGCTCTACATCATCCCCTGCCCTGGACTAGAGCACCAGCCACCTTGCCTCTCCATCCAGTCTCCAATCTGAAGCAGCCAAAGGCCCTTCCCTCTAAAGCACAAGGCAGAGACACACACACTCAAAACACATGAGGTCTCCTCACCACCAGGCCTCCTGCTCCAGCAGGACCCCATCCATCCATAGCAAGGGTGTTCTTGCCTTTTGCCCAGCACCCCACAGCAGTGGCCATGTCTGTCTCCTGTGTGTGTTGCCTGGAGGACATGTTTCCCTGCCCCTCGCAGCTGCTAAAGATATCCTTAAGTCCCTACCCCTGAGGGCTCAGACGTCTGTATAGCCTACCGTGAGGCCCACCGGGGGACTCCAGGCCCCAGCTCCTAGCTGGCAGCTCCCTCTGGGATTTTCCAGCCCGTGATCCTTGGGGAGGGGGCTGCATATATCCCAAGACCCAGAGAACTTGTTTGTGTGACTGAGGCTGAGTCTAAGAGATGCTAATGAGAGACAAGTGGAGAGAACACAGGGGGGCGAGGGCGGGGCAGAGCCTGGTACCACAGGGGCCTGACAAGGCTCAGATGTGAACAAGCTCATGCCCTAGGAAAGGAACTGCAGGGCAGGGAGGTCCCTCGCTAATCCGCAGATCTTACTAGGGCTCTGCTTGCTGCAAGCTTGTGTGGTGCCCCAGCAGCCTGCTGCCAGAGCCCAAGCTTCCAGCTGTTCCAGCCTGCCCCACAGGTCCCAGCACGTCTGAGCGTCCCCATTAATGGCACCAGGCTTTTACTCACTCACTGACCCCTAGTCGTCACCTCTCTACCAACACCATGTCGTTTTCTCAAACCTTCCTGTTATTGTTGGTAGTGACTTGGGCTGGTGGTCCTCAGGCCGAGCCCCATACATAAGTATCCCCGTGGAGTCTGGTAACCTGTCCCCATTACTCTCAAAGGGGACAGGGAGGCAGGGCTAGGCAGAGGGCAAGGTTATGGAGGATTAGAGGGCCCAGGAAGTCTTTTATTGGCGTCCCTCCATCACCACTGTAGGCATTCTGATCAGCCACTCAAGACAGTTTGATGTCTTGATCCTGGGAAGGGCAGAGCAGGAAGCGAGAGGGGTTTTGGAGGCAGATGGTTAGTGGGAACAATAGGTCTTGGTGAGGCACAGCAGCAGGGGGCTGGGGAAGACAAGTGGCTACCAGGCTGTAGTTCCAAGAGCATGCTCTAGTGTGACCCCCCAGCGCAGATGATGCTCAGCTGTCTGTCGTCTGCGGTGACAGTTGAGTGGTTTAATGCAGGAACCACAGGTGAAAGAGGTCTGGGGTTCCAGGCGAGGTCGCAGCTCCACCCCAGTGGTCCCACCCCAGCAGGCAAGGGCGGGGCGGAGGATGCTGCGTCGCGGTTTCATTCTAGACTAGAGGGTCACAGAGCCCAGACTTAGAATTGTCCCAGCTGCGTGCGGCGGCGACATGGGCGCCAGAAGGCTCCGGGTCAGAAGCCGGAGGAGCCGAGACAGCCCGGTGCCCACTCAATGCAATCAGACCGAGTGCTTCGACCCTCTGTTGCGAAACTGCGTGTCCTGTGAGCTCTTCCACACTCCGGACACTGGACATAGTAAGCAAGGGGATGGGGATAGGCGTGACTTGCCCCGAGGTCGCCATCCTGCCAGCGCCTCATGCTCCTCTGCTGACCCTGGAGCCAGCGGTCCCCCATGTCCCTCACTGTTAGTCTCTCCCTCCCTGTCTTCCTCTCTCTGTCTCCTTCTCTCTCTCCCTCTACTCCTCCCCCATCCTCTTATCCCCTCATCCCCTCATCCCCTCATCCCCTCCGCCAACAGCAAGCAGCCTGGAGCCCGGGACAGCTCTGCAGCCTCAGGAGGGCTCTGGGCTGAGACCCGACGTGGCGCTGCTCTTCGGTGCCCCCGCGCTCCTGGGATTGGTGCTGGCGCTGACCCTGGTGGGTCTGGTGAGTCTGGTGAGCTGGAGGTGGCGGCAACAGCTCAGGATGGCCTCCCCGGACACTTCAGAAGGAGTCCAACAAGGTGAGAACTGGGTCGGGGGAGCGCAACGGGCGGCTAGGGGTGGGGGTGGGGACGAAACCCTTGGTAAGTAAGAGAGGTCAGAACCGGGAGGGAGTCCTGGAGTTGACTCTGAGACTGTCATAAATCAGGGAGGACAGCACAACCCAAGCTTTAATCCAAGCGAGAAGAACCAGTGCCCAAGAAGAGATGTTTGGGATGAAGGAGCCCAAGGCCCCTTTTCTAGGTTATGCTCAGTGGGCTGGCCAGACACCCCTCTCCCAGTGTCAGCGTCCCTCACCTCCTCTTATCAAGTCTCTGGACTCAGCACTTCCTGTGTTGAAGACTTCTCATGTGCTGTCCCACTTCCTCCTCCTAGGGCTGTCCCAGAGGAGGCTTCTAGAACAGCCATTGGGGGGAGGCTATGATTCGATCCTAACCTGTCTTACCTGGTCCCTCTCCCACCCCAGAGTCCCTGGAAAATGTCGTTGTACCCTCCTCAGAAACCCTTCACGCCTCAGCCCCTACCTGGCCTCCACTCACAGAAGATGCCGACAAAGCCCTGCCACGACACAGCATCCCAGTGCCTGCCACAGAACTCGGCTCCACTGAGCTGGTGACCACCAAGACGGCTGGTCCTGAGCAATAGCAGCCGTGGAGGTTGGAACCCAGGGAGCCCTACTGGGCTTGTGAACTTTCACCCAACAGCTTGGAAAAGAATTCAGTGGCGGAGACCTTTGCCGGGGGTGAAGCCAGCAGAACCAGACACTACCTGCCACGGGCTCCCACCAGCATGAGATTGTTTTCGTGTTAGCTTTTGGCTTGAGAACATTCCATTTTTGAGATGTATTTTAAGCTTGTGTGCCTTCGGATGCTTGGATAGGCTTGAGGGTTGAATATTAATCTCTGTAATGAGTCAGAGACTGGAAATTGAATCTCTTTCTAAAAATTTTGGATGGTGGACTGGAGATGTGGCTCTTAAACAGTTCAGTTTGTGTTCTGTCCTCACAGAGGTCTCCAGTGGCTCAGTTTCCCACGACTCATATCTGGCAGCTTAAAACCACCTGTAACTCAAGCGCACTCATTTGTTCCGGTGTACACACACACACACACGGACACACACACACACACATGGACACACATGCACACACACACACATATAGGAGTTCACACATGCACACACATACACGCACACATGCTTGCTTTAAAATGTTAAAAATGAGGGCTGGAGAAATTGCTCATGGTCTAGAGTGCTTACTGTCTCCAGAGGATTCGAGTTTTATTCCCAGCATGCACTTCAGGTGGCTTATTGCTGAGCATAACATTTGCTTCCGGGGACCTGATCCCTCTGGACTCCATGGGCATCTGTATTCACATGCATATCCTTCACACACACACACACACACACACACACACACTTTTATAAATTGTAAAATGTAAGCTGGGCATGGTGGTACACGCCTTTAATCCCAACACTGGAGAGGCAGAGGCAGGCAGATCTCTGAGTTAGAGGTCACCCTGGTCTACGTAGCAAGTTCCAGGCTAGCCAGAGCTACATGGTGAGACCAAGTCCCAAAATAATACTGAAAGAAAAGGAAAAAAATAAAGAAAATATTTTTAAATTTTGATTTTTTCTTTTATTATTATTATTATTTTAAATATAAATCTCATGGTGTTTAGAAGTGATATACTTAGATGGTGACTAAGATGAGGTAAAGCCATCAGGACCGAGCCCCTAAGATACAAGGAGAGACGAGAGACAATGAATAAGTCACCCTCCTGCCCCATGATGTGCTGTGTCAGCTCTGGACTCCACCAGCCCAAGGGTGATCATCAGATGCTGGCCCTCGAAACTTCAGAGCTGTAAGCTAAATCAGTCTCATTTCTTTGTAAAGTTGTTTAGCCTTAGGTGTTTTGTTACAATACTATAAAGTGGACTGTGAGTATAAGGTTTTTCTCTTAGCAGGGAAAGGGTACCATTAAACCAAAATTAATCTGAATAAAGAAAGGCTGCAGGAAGGACTCTTAATCTGTACCTAGGTGCTGTGTTTCTTTAATTCCTGCTGGGGGCGCTGTTCTGCTTTGAAGCTGACTCAAGTGGCAGCAACAGCTGATGGTGTGTCTGGCTGTGGTAACTAGTACAATGTTCTCTGTGATTTTATTTTTCATTATATTGGGGATCAGACCCACGCTAAACAGCACTCTACAGTGAGTTACGCCCTAATTGTAAGATCAGTTTTTAGAATAAGTAGGGAACAGGGGAGAGGCCTGGGCAGTGGTGCTGAGTCTCAGGTGTCTGTAACTCAGGAATCACCATAGATTTCTTTGACCCAGTCTGCTAGGACCTAAGATGCCATCTTCACTGTAATGGATATTTCTAGATTTCTAGTGATTCATAGGCAGGTCTGTAGTCTCAGGTTGGAGTCTAAATTTAAGTTGATGGAGATAGAACATCCTGGTGGTGATCTCCCTCAGAGAGCAGCTAGAGGCCACATTCAGCCGTGTGCTGGCCAGTGACCTATACAGCACTCCTTCACAGAGAGGCCAAGGCAGGCCTGTGGCTCTGTGGCAGGCCTGTGGCTCTGCAGCACGCCCACCTGAGATCCTTTGTGTTCCCTCTGTGGACTGTTCTCCCCTTGAGCTGGGCTTTCTCGGTCAAGCTTGTGCTGGCCCCAGACTCAGCACCACCCCTGTGGAAGCCGTCCCCTGACAGTGGGACTGTTTGCTCTGAAGCCATTAATCCTCTCTATCTAGTACACTGCACACTCAGAGGGAGCTATCGTGTCTCCTGCCTGCCCTCCTCCTCACGGGGACGCTGAACTCTAGTTTGTATAGGAGGGCGCACTGACCTGGGAGTCGGAAGTGGGATCTTCCTGCAGGGTCTTGTCTGAGTTCTCTCTGAACCCACCACAGCTGCCTGGAAGCACTTGGCTGTCCCGTGCAGTCCCTCTTTAGTTTAGAAAACAGTACCCAGTAGCAGTTAGAGCCTCCAGGACCTGGACATTCATTTCCAAGATATCCCTCTCTCCTGGGGTTGGGCGAGTAGGGTGAGCTCAGATGACAACGGTAGGTGACAGGTGTCAGTCAGGCCATTGCTGTCCACTAGTGCTAGCCTGGGACTGGAGGAATCTGAAATGTCTCTAGCCACCTGTATTAGCTATAGCCAGGGTCTAGGCTCTGACGGTGAAAAAAGCAAGTAAACCCCCGTGGGCCATGGCATACAAACCTTTGACACCTCTTCATCCCAGCTAAGCCTCTGGTTGGTACAGTTTCCCTCAATCTCAGTTTCTTTTGAGAAATAGGGGATGGGTACAAAGTTTTCTCTCTGGTCTCCGGCCCATAAAGGAGAAGAGCTGGAAGGAACCTGGGAAAAGTCTCACACATGTCCCCATTTCACAGCGAGGAGACCAAAGCCTAGGCAGCGAGAGAACCCGGCATCATCATTGTCATAAATAAGAAGAGAGCTCTTTGGGAAAGGCATGAAAAGCAAGTGGAGGAGGACAAGGAGCAGGTACACTACCCCCTTGACCCCCCCCCCCCACGCAAGGGCTGCACCGCCAGGCAGTGAAGTCAGCACTCCCTCCCCGTTTGTCATAGGTCTTTCTGAGGGGTCTTTGTCCATTCTGCACTTCATCTCCATGACAATGGCTGGAAGGGGGAAGGGACTCCTGTTTGGTTAAAGCAATTATTAAACCTAAATCAAGATAGTCATTTTGCATATGAGCTAGAAGGTGCAGTTGTGACAGTTGGTCCTTAGTGGAGGCTGAGGAGAGCTGAGGGTGGCCCAGAGGACCAGCCGCTGCGTATGCGGTGTGTGTTGTCATCTATAATGTCAGCTATAATCATCACATACTTGAGTCGCATCTTGGGGCAAAGATGGCTCACGGACAGAGTAACGGTGCAATGCGGTGCTTGCTGCTGAACCTGGAAACCCAAATGTGACCCTAGACTCCATGTGGTGGAAGGAGAGGACTGACCCCCACAAGCTGCCCCTTGACCTTCACTAGTGTACCCTGCCCCCCCATCTTTCCATTAAGTCCCATCTTGAACGTCACATACAGTAGGTTTCTGTCTTCAAATGCTCCCAATTGGGCTTTTCGATGCTTGTCAAGTTTTCCATCTGAGCATCTGGTCCCTCGCAGGCTCTGCTGGTGTCACAGGCGCAGAGCAAGCACCTCCTTTCTGCAAAAACCTGTGTGATCTCTCTTTCCAGAAGGACCAAAGTGACAATGGCCTTGACCTTTCTAATGACCTCTGAGAGCTGGGATGATCTCACATCAATAAGAGTGGTTCCGAGAGACACAAATCACGATGAGTGATGGGCGGAGTTTAAGTGGTGTTCCTGTCCCTACCTGCTATGCCTACCCAGCGGGGTTGGGCAGGGGGGAGTCACCTACCCAAGCTAGGTCCTTTCCTTTGGATGGTCTGGTTTCCCCAAGGTCCCCAGGGGCTAACAGGTGGGGGCAGAGGGCTGAAGTCTCAGTTCCTTTTGGTGCTTCCTGCAGGCCGTTTTCACTTCCTGCCTGGCAGTTCCAGGGCTGGGGGCTCAAGCTGGAGGTGAGGGCCCACTAGAGAAGTCAGAGAGGAAGCCCTGCTGACCACCACACATACACACGCGTACATGCACGCACGCACACACACACTCACACACACATCTTCTTTGTCAACAAAGATGGACTCAGACAGCACTGTCCTTAAGGCCTGCCTGTATATCTTCCAACTAGGGCTCCTGGCTGGGGAATGTGGCTCAGTTGGTGGAGTGCTTGCCTAGATGTGTGAAGCCCTTAGTTCCACCTCCAGCACATTATAAAACACGGCACAGTGGCTCACACCTGTAATCCCAGCATTTGGGAGATGGATGTAGGAAGATCAGGAGTTCAAGACCATACTCAGCTACATATCCAGTTCAGAGACCTTGTCTGTAAAACAAAACAAAACAGCTCCTAAAGACTATCCAGCTGTCATCGTCCTCCCTCCCAGGACTCTGCAGAGTGATGGAGCTGGGGGAGGGCCAGGACGGGACAGATTCCTAAGCTTTAGAGAATCAGGAAAGGCTCTAGATTCAGGTCTGCGCAGCTTCTCCGCGGTGGGAGAAAGTCTATCTGTGCAGGTCAAGAGGTCAGAGCCCCACTACTAGCTGTTTTGTCGGAAAGATGGGGCGGGGCGGGCCTGGGGCGGAGGCAAGGAGAGGCGGGGCCGAGGGGCTGGCCAGGTTGCAAAAAGGGGAGTGGCCGGAGGCAAGTCTAAGGGTGGTATTTTGGTTTGGGTTTTCTGTTTTGTTTTGTTTTCTTTTTTTTGAGACGCGATCTCATGTAGTCCAGGCTGGGCTCGAACTCTGTGTAGCCGAGAATGCCCCTGAACTCCTGATCTGGTCTTCCCCTTACAAGTAATGATGTTCCCTGCCACGCCAGGCTTTTTCTTTACGTGGTGTTAAGGATAGAATCCCTTGTGTACACTAGGCAAGCTCTCTACTGTTGAAGCTACAAACACCAGCTCCTCTTCCAGCTCTCTTCACTAGGGGTCTTCAGGCGCCTTCAGGTAACTGCGGCTGGGGCGAGAGGGGCCTCGATGTGTGGAATCACACGCTTCAGCATGTTGTACAAATGAGGGGGATCAGGTCACCCCTACAGCCCACGTTCTAAGCTGACTGGGATTTACCTCCAGAGATGGGCAACATGAGCCGGTAGGACTTCCCTGATCTCATGGCTACCCTGTCTAACGTCCACCTGACCTACTCTCAGTAGCTCTGGCCTCTGGGAGAATCCCGAAGAGGATTGCACGGTGGGTGCAAACAGGAAGCGGGGTTACCTGAACAGGGAGGGCAAAGGCTAGGATACAGTATGACGATTGGGGCTAGCAGGCTGAGTGGAAGCGCCCAACCCCCAATCCTGCTGCTCCCTTGAGACCTCAGGAGCCTGGTCGCCCCCTCCCTCCCACAGGCAGCTGGAGCCTGAGTCACGAGCTGCCTCTCAGGAGACAAAGGCAACCCAGGGCCCTCCCTCCAGACCCCCTCCTGGTGCCAGCATCTGCACTAGCAGGGAGTCTGACATCTCCAGAATCTCTGGAGGAAATGGAAGACATTGAGCTTAGAAGTCACCTTCTGACTTGAGTGACACCTGATGTCACTCTCTTCTGCAGGGGTGCTTCTCAGTGATTGCCTATACAAGCTGTTTCCAGGTGGAGCCTTTCGGCTTCTCCTTGTAGCTCTGTGAAAGAACTGCTAGTTGCCCATCTTGCTGATGAGAAAACTAAGGTCTAGAAAGATGGAAGAATCCTCACAGAGTAGGGATTGTAAACAGGCCCATAGTGACACAGGGACGTCATCACGAGGGCAAGAAACAGGAAAAGGGGAGAAGCAACAGCAGCCTTCTGCACTGGCTGCCCATGTGCAGATCATGGAGAAGAAACACTTCCC